GACGCAACCCTATGCGTTAATAACCACAAAACATATTTTTTTGAAAAAGAACCAACCCTATGATACATTAATGAAAAGATAAATATATATTTTTTAAAACGCAACTCTATGATACATTAGTAACCACAATTATTATTGACAACGTATACATATATGGGTACAATGCAAAAGGTAAATCATGGCAATGTACGTAAGAAGAAGTTACAAAAAGACCTAACTTAAGTCTAAATAACCGTAAATTTTTCTAAAAAGATGCAACCCATACATTTTCACAGAATGATAGACACACCCTAGGATGCATTGTTAACCAGTAGTAAAAGGTTTTATTAGAAGACATAGCCTATGATGCATTAATAACCATAAAACAAGTTTTCTGAGAAGACGCAATCATATGATGCATTAAAATAGGTTTTTTTAAAAGACACAATCCTAAGATGCTTTAATAATCATAAAACTGTTTTCCAAAAGATGCAATCGTAGGATTCATTAACAACCATAAAACAAATTTTAAGATGCAACCAAAAGACACGACACTTGGTTGCTTTAATAACCATAAAATAGTATTTTCAAATAGACGTAATCATATGATGGATTAATAAATTTAAAGTAGATTTAATCGAAAAATGCAACCTTTATATGCTTTAATAACTATAAAATAGTTTATTTGAAATAAAAAGACGTAACCCTCTGATGTTTTAATAACCATAAAATAGATTTTTCGAAAAGACGCAATCGTATGATGCATTAATCACCATAAACCAGGCTTTTCAAAAAGACGCAATCCTAAGATGCTTTTATAATCATAAAACGGTTTTCTGAAAAGATGCAATCATAGGATTTATTAATAACAATAAAATAGATTTCTCAAAAATACGTAATCTTATAGAGCTTTAATAACCATAAAACCGATTTTTCAAAATACACGACCATATGATGGATCAATAACTATTTAATGAATTTTTCGAAAAGACGGAAGCCTTAGTTTCTTTAATAATCATAAAACGGTGTTTTCAAAAACAAATGCAACCCAATGATGCATTCATAGCCATAAAATTAATTTTCGAAAAGATGCAGCATTTAGATGTAATCCCATGATGCATTAATTAAAACATCATAGAATTTAGCGAAAAGATGCAACTCTTACAAATAACCATAAAGCGGTTTTTTCGAGAAGAAGCAACCTTTCAAAATAATCATAATGCGATTTTTTTTAAAAAATAGAAAAACTAAAACATATATATATATATAGGCCAAACGATTTTTCTGAAAAAAACGCAACTTTTAGTGATAACCATAAAGCGGTTACTTCAAAAAATAACTACTTAACGGCTATTTTTGAAAAGACGTAATTTTTGATAAAATAGTTATTAATGAAAAGACACAACTCTTGACAAAACGATTACAATGAAAAGACGCAACTCTTAACAAAACGGAATTAACGAAAAGATGCAACTCTTGCAAATAACCATAAAGTGGTTTTTTTCGAGAAGATGCAACCCTTCAAAATAACCATAATGCGGTTTTCTGGAAAAAAAAACTTGACTCTAGCATAAACTTATAAATACAAGACGGTTTTCCGAGAAGACACAACAAAAATAATCATTTTTTTAGGTTTGCTATTATATATAGATAACATGCAGGCAGATAATGATATTACAACATTTTTCATTTCAGATAATAGTACCAAATATTGGTTCAACACCATCACACACCTTTCGATTTCCAGCAATGGATTTGTTATCTCTTTCAATTCTATCAATTCCTCATATGTTTGTTTCAAAGATATGTCTTCTCTCAATTGTAAGATTAGTCTAACAATTATAAAACTTTGGTTACTTGTTATCTTTAAATATAATGCATCAAAATTGTTCAAAAAAAAAAAAAAAACTAATAACATGCAGGCAGATAATGATATTACAACATTTTCCATTTCAGCTTATTTATTAATTATTTCTTATACTAACTCCATTTTACAAAGGAAATATTGTTTTTGAAAAAAATATGGTTTTGAATTAACTTATTGATTTTAACTTTTGAGAAGTTGGTCGTCGTTCATGAATGTGACCCAAATTAGGTCCTCTTTCGTGCATGCTTCGATTTTCTTCCTACCAATGATTAACATAAATAAAATGGCTAAAGGCCAAAGAATTCAAAAGAATATTTGATGACGCTTATATTTCTGGACCAGAAAAAAAAATCTATATTATGTGAAATAGATAAAAGTATAAAGCCAAAACAACTGTGGAAAAATCACGCGCCGGTGTGTGTGCTTACAAAACTGCATAACCACCATCAACTTGTGACCTATATGAATACGCATGTCTATTGAAACAATTATCGCCTTTATATATTTTGACAATTCCCGAGTATTATTGATTTATGGGATCTCTTGATTTACTGTTATTTTTTCTTTAAACTGTTTTGTAGAGTATTTTCAATCATCGTCACTATTTTATTTTCCTATCAAGAATCCTAGTTTTGTTTGTCTTCCGAGACCACAGCGACAAACAAAATAAATCAAAATTAATTCAGTATATGCACTTAATGCTACTTAACTTTCATACAATTACGATAAAAAAAAAAAGTTTCATAGAACTATTTTTTTTAAGTCCAAAATTTCATGATGATAGTATTTCTTTGTCACTAAGGACTTCAACATTGAAATTAAGGACTTTTGTCACACACAAAGAAAAAAAAATTAAAGACCGTTTAGTTTTTGTTTTCACTAACTAGGTCAACTTTAAAGGAAAATGAACTCAAATAAATAAATAGAAAAAAGTAGTAAGCTTTTTGGTAATGTGTGTGTGTGTTATTTTGGATCTAATTATTAAAGGCAGCAAAAAGGTAATTTCACCTTTTTGTCATGCTTTCTTACAGAAGCTAATGAAGAGACAGAAGAACAAAGGCATCTGAACCAGAACAAGTTGATGCCTGAGAGGACAAGAGAACTCTCAAGTCTCAACTTATACAATAATTTCATAGAAGAAAACTAAATTTGATCAGGCTACTCATGTTTTTATGTACTTAGCATTACGACAATAGTTTTTAAAATGGGTACTTTCTTTCTAGGGAAATAAGATATTTATATATTCATCATAAATCTATTATCTTAACAAAATATATAAGAATATATTTATTTATTAAGTGAACTATAGGGCTTCAACGAGGTCCCATGTGATGTGGGCTTCTAATCAAACACTATCACATTTCATTTCTTATGGCTATAATTGCATGCTTTTTATAGTCGTCATGATCAATTTTTAAGTCAAAAGATGGTAAACGTTTTCGTGTCATGAATCAGGCGCATCACGCATGGCCTGCATGATGAGTATATAATATGTCTATATTCCATTTTTTTAGCGTATTTAATAGTGGGAGATAATGGCTTTTACTACAATGCGCGTGAGAACCAGAAATGGGTAGGAGTGGTAGATTAGATAGCACAGAGAACGAAATCCGAAGCTCGTGAGGACTTATGGAATAGTAGTAATATTAATGGTCTTGAGTACAAAAAGAAAAACAATTCAATAAAGAGAAGATAAAGTAAAGAAGTGCATGTTCCATTAATGAGATGCAGATGGGGTGGTTGATATGCTATTTTGGTTGGACATTGGTTTGTTTTTATCCAAAATAACGATTTTTTACTTTATGTTAATATAAATACACAAATTAGTAATGGCTAACAATATCCCTTGTTGGCTTTCATAATTTTTGTCTTAATTATAAAGTTGTTTTGGGATTAGATTTTTGTTTTGTCTCTCTTTTACCCGTTGGTCTCCTTATCCAAAAGAATATGGACTGTAGCTATCAAATTTATTTGATCCATGAGTATATATAGGCCTTTAGAAAATGTTTCTAATCTAAGCTGACTCTTGTTTAGTTTAGTTGTCTAATTGCAATATATATATCAAATAAACTTCAACTATATAATAGCCGGAAATAAATTAAGCATGGTTCTAAGAAGAATAATTACAAAGAGTCTATATAACCCCTAAATACATGTATAATTAAGTGTATATATAAAACTCCATAGAGCTATAAAACAATTTCTAAATGTATACGAATAAATTAAAGTGGAGATATAACTGACCTCCATTGAGCCAAAGAAGAAGGGGTTTGGTTTGTGGAGAAGGTGAAGATGACTCAGTGAGCCAGTAGAAGAGAGAACGACCATGAGACTCGTTTACATTGATATAGCCTGAGTATTGTGAGAATGCCACTTTTGGTTGCCCTGGAAGTGCTTTGATTCTGTCCTTCTCTTGCTCTCTTGAAGGCAATGACGATGATGTTTTTGATAAAAGAGCTAGAAGAAGAAGAAAAATGAGATTGGTTCTTGCCATTTCTTGTCCCTCTCACACTCTCTCCACTTTTTTGCTCCAATGGGTTTTGTTGTGGTAGGTC